TCCACTCTCAGCCTTTCGGTTCTGTCACCTGCTTGGGATTTTCTTCCCTCTTGGTTGTTCCTCCCTGTCTAAAGTATTAGCTGTTCACCCAAAGCCATAGGATTCTGAGTACTTCTCTGCCTGTGAAAAGGCTGAAATGTACAGAAAACTCACCCCTCCTGCTGTTCTGTCACAGCCCTGCCTTTACAGAGCTTGCAACCTGGGAAGAAGATGTTCCCTCCCCCCTCCTGCTTGTCCTTAGTGAACTCCTCCCTAGACCCAGAACTGTGCTGGACACAGGAGGTGAGCATTTTGGACAAGTCAGTAAGTTCTGCCCTTGAGGCTGAAGTTTCAGAAGGAAGACATAGCTGCTGAGGGGACTGAGATGTGTACTGGGAGGTGGTGACGAGGTGGTCAGTGAGGGCATGGAGAAGGCTGGGCAGACGGTCCCTGAGTGAAGAACTCTTCCTCAGTGACCTTGAGGAAAGGAAAAGCCCAGCGTTTGGGGTAGGATAGAAGTTGGCAGTTGAGAGCTTTTGCTGTTGCCTGGGATAATGCTCACAAATCACCTTGGGGCTTCTTAGAATGCAGATGCTGGTTCCATAGGCCTGGGTGGGTCCTGAGATTCTGTAGTTGAACCAACCCTGTCTGAGGCAGTGCTGCTGCTGTAGGTCCCGGGAACTGGGGTCTGTGTTCAGGCTCTTTGGCTTTCCTCTATGACTTCCCACCAGATCCCTGAGGTTGCTCCTTACCAGGACTCCCAGAGCTGCCTGTTTGCATCTGGAGAAGCAGTGACCAAGGAGCTAGGCCAGCTGGTTCCCACACCTCCTGTTTGTTGCTGTGTCCAGTGACAGTCACCGGCCAGCCCTGACTGGCCATGCTACCCCGAGTCCACACTCAGACTATCCTGGGGCTGCAGTGTTTGGCCACTTCCCAGTCATGAGAAGGAACGTTGTTGTGTGGCTTGCTCACCAGCAAGGAGTGGGGTTGGGACACGTGGGTACCCGCCCCCCCCCACCCCCAGGGGCTTTGAACAAGCAGCTTTGTACCTCTGTGCCTCAGTTGTCTTTCTGGGAAATCATAGCTGGACTTGAACTTACAATTCTTTCTCAGCCTTGTGATCATCTCTCTCTCTCTCTCTCTCTCTCTCACTCTCACTCTCACTCTCACTTCTCAACACCAGCAAAGCACTCCACTCCCTTAATTTGGTGAATTTAGAACAGACCAAAATTCATTTCCTCCTACCAACCCCCTCCATACTGGTATGTTCCAGAGCTTCTAGAAGATCCCATCATGTCCTTGTTTCTGACCCTGTCACACGTACAAGCCAGTGGAGGAGGTAGGGTGGCAGAGGCTGTTCTGGATAGAGTTTTAGTGCCAGGAGGAGAGGGCCTTATATTCTCTGTTTTGGTGCCCTTGCCTGCTGGCCCTGAGGTCCCTGGTGCTGGGCTCTCAGCTGCTTGTCCTAGGGAGTGGACTCACCCTTGTTCCCTGACTCCTCTCACACACCAACCCTGAACACCTCCTGACCCAGTCTGCAGAAAGCTCATCCACGGGTCATGTTCATACCCTCTGCCACCTAGCATGGGCCCTGTCCAGCCCCTGATGGGAAGTCTTTGCCATAGGGCACAGCTGCTCCTAACATGACACAGTCTCTGTGCAGGCTTAGCTGTTTACAGAGCACTCTCTTGCACCCGATGCCCAGTCTCCATGAGTCCTCTCTGTGGGGTAGTCTGTAAATACCATGGGGCTCTTCCATTTTACAGACTGGAACACTGAGGCTGGGGTTTCGTGAGGGCAGGAAGAGGACTGGCCATCTGGCTTCTCTTGCCAATTTTCTGGGAAAGTCACCCCATCCAGCCTGATCACCACAGGCCGGGAATGGGGGTTTCCTCCTTTATCATACGCTTCATTCTCCCACTTCTCGGCTCAGTTTGGTCCAGACGTGCTGAGAGGCTCTCCCAAATCTTCAGCTGACTTTTTCAGAGGTGATGCTGTCTGTAACATTCTCTGAGCTGCCATTAATTATGTGACAAGCAAATGTATTGCTTTCCAACAGGACTGTGTTCTGTATACCCAAGGAGAGGCACTCAGTGGAAAATAGCATTTTGTTTTGTGCTTCTCGAGCAAGTCTTTCAGGCTCCTCCGGCTCAGCCCGGGTGCCTGTTTGTTCAGCGATTAATCGCCAGCATCCGCTCAAGTGGAAATGAAGCAAACTTTACCACGAGTGGAATCGTCATTAAAAAGCCATTATCAAATCAAACCAGCACAATCCTTGCTCTTTTACTACTAATGACAAAACAATTTCTTGAGAAGGTACAGACAACAAACTTTTCATTTTATTCTTGCCTTCAATGCCAGCCTTCGCTAGCCGGGGGATGTAATAGGAGTGAGCCGCACCGAAGGGCAGCGCTGTAGTGATTTATTGATCAATAAAGGAGACAATTACAGCTTGTTTATGAAAGGAAATCCCCCGCCCCGGCCTTGCACGGCGGCGACAGTCTGGTAATGATAACTCCGGTAACCAGCTTGAAACGATAAAAGTCAATAGGAAGATATAGGATTTCAATAAAATTATGACACTCGATAAACCTTCCCGTGGAAACAAATTTTCCATGTATATGTGACCAGTTCCTGTTGGATTTGTAACTTTAATTTCTTACTTATTGAATTTTTTGTCATCAACTAATTATGAAGTCTGTGCCGGGGTGACAGCCGTGTGCCTGGCTTGTGAGGAAGCAGGAGAGCTCCAGACACGGCAGTCTGAGTCCGTGGGTGCCACCACATTTCCTCAGCCCCCCGGCACCCTCAGCCACTCCCAGTTGGAAGGGAAGGGCCTCGGCAGGGATGGGTAAACGGCATTGCTGCTGGGGGAGCTAGGCTTTTGGCTTGGTTTCTTGTGGGGACTCTGGTTGGGTCTCAGCTTGTCTCAGCCCAAACTGAGACAATAGATGTGGAAAGGGATTCTGGTTTCCTGTAGGAGGGCTTCACTTCCTTTAATTTCGTCATCCCTGTGAGCTCAACAGGTGACAGCAGGGAGGAGAGTGCCTGTGTGCCTGGAAATCTCTACTCGGACTTCAAGGCCGAGCAAGCAGGTCTCCATCAGGCATGAGTTCTCCTTTCAGCCAGTACTCACGAGGAAGGTTCGCCACTCACTCGCGAGCGAGTGCGCTGACCAGGGGCACAGAGCAAGGTCCTACTGCGGCTGGGCTGATCTTTTACTAGCTCCCTTTCCATGTGCGCGCTGGGAAGGAGATGTGTCAGAGGATGCACTGAAGCTGTTCCCTGGGCTTTATAAATGGCTAATGTTTGCCGACATTAGTGGAATCTTAGTCATTCTGCAGGCATGGTTGCTTACAGGGTAGCTCGCTGGACACTCCGTCCAGGACAGTGTTGATCTTCATAACTGTCCAGTTGCACCGCCTTATTAACAAAGGGACTGACACCTGGGAGATGAGTTAGCTGGCCTGGGGCCAAGCTGGGATTTGAACCTGGGCCACATTGAAATTCATCTTCTTGCTGAGTTCTGCTGCCCCTGGCTTTCTCCCCTGCCTGGACCCATGAGTGGGGCAGAACCCCAGGCTGAGGTCAGTGAGTGCATCGGCAGGGACATCTCTGAGGCACCGTGTAGACTTGCAGATTCCCAGGCCTGCGTGGACCTGCTGAATCCAAATCCATGTTGTTCTAATCCCAGAACGTTTGTGTGCACGTGGAAAACCGAGCAGCTGTGCTCCAACCAGCCTGGGTTCCTGGAGGAGGGCTTCACTTCCTTTCATTTTGTCATCCCTGTGAGCTCAACAGGTGACAGCAGGGAGGAGGAGGGCCCGTGTGCCTGGAACCTCTGCTCAGATTCTGCCTGGGCTCAGGAGAGTCCAGTGGCTCTGTGGATTTAGGCCCACATCTGGGCACCCCAGTCCAGGGACGGGAGAAATGACAGTAGGCAACCGAGTGGGAACAGCTTAGTTCCTGACCCCAGGATGTCCTTACTCTCTGTAGGCTTCCCTGCTGACTTAGTGGAAGGACTTGTCCCTGTGGGGTTATATGATTGATTACTCAAGCATCTCAGGAAAGACTGTTCTGATCCCAGCTCTGGGTCTGGAAGAAGCTGCCCATCTCTCACAGGGCCCGAACTTCCTGGCTCACACTATCGACCCTAATCAGGTTCAAGCAGGGGATACCTGAGTGGTGACTTCTGTTATGGCTCTAAGAATTAGTCCTGAGGCTATGTGCTCAGGCTGTCATCCCAAGAAACTGGAGCTGCTGCTCCTTGTGACTCCCACCTTTTGACCAAGAAAAGAAGGAAGGATGCTGGGTGTGACTTGTGTGTGGTGACATGTCGATGCCCTCAGCATCCCAGGAGCACTGCTGGGACCAGAACTGCTTCAGCAGGGACCTGGAAGCCTGTCAGAGCCCTGGGCAGTTGAACAGAGCTGTGGGTTGGCAGCTTCCCTGCAGTCAGTCTGCCCCACTCACAGACTGGCCATGTCATATCCTTGCTCTGTTACTAATTAGAGGCCGGGTCAGAAGTCATGGGAAGAGGCTGCAAGCCCACCTCCTGACTGGGACCCAGAGAGGTTACACGGGGACTCAGAGAAGTCACATAGACCCACAAGTACTAGCTAGGAGAGAAGAGAGGCCTGCGCCCACCATGGCACCCACCATGGCCCCCACCTGAGCGTAGTGTGTCCGTGGCAGTCAGGAGGCCTGTATTCCCCATCTAGCCAGTGTTCACACAGCATGGCAGGGCAGGAGGCACACGTCTGCCTGGATCACAGCCCAACACAGTCAGAGCGAGCACTGAGACCACAGACGGGCTCAACGTTCAGGGGCCTAGGCTGTGTTCCGAACATGTGGGACCTCTCCCCATGACATTGGGCTTGTGAGAGTGGGCTCTGGGGAGCTGGCAAGGACCAGAAGGCGGGTAGGGTCTGAGTCCCGAGAGCAGCATATCCTGTGCTTGTCTCCAGCTTCCTCTCACTGCTGCTTGCCCCACCCTGACCAGCTGCACTCTGTGCCCACAGGAGCGGGACGGCATGCGTGCCATCCTGGGGTCCTACGACAGCGAGCTGACCCAGGCCGAGTACTCACCCCAGCTGACCCGTCGCATGCGGGAGGCCGAGGATATGGTGCAGAAGGTGCATGCCCACAGCACGGAGGTAGAGGTGAGTCTGCAGTGGGAGGGCTGGGGCTCCTGGCATCAAACAGGACAAGACCTCCCCTGAGAGGACTTGGGCAGAGTCTCGTCTGGTCTTAGTCCTGTCCTCTTTAACTGTGTGCGTGTGGTGGGGGCTTATAGGCTGGTTATTTTACATATGTAACACAAGCCCAGCAATCGTGTCTTCCTCAGTTTGTCGGGGAGTCTAGATGGCTCCCCAGACAACAGGCAGGTAAGCTACACAGGGTTGGGGTTTTGTGCGATGAGCATCCCATCCCATCAATGGCATCAGTGTGAGGAGCAGCTGAATGGTCAGTCTCTGTGTGCCTTGGAGGTGACCCATGGGAGGCTGTGCTTGTGGCCTGGAGAGCGGGCCCAGTGCTGCCCAACTCACTGCATGGTGAGGGCAGGGCTTTCCCCTCCTACCACGTCCTCCAGCCCGAGCCCCCTTTCCTGGTGATGCCACGAGGTCCTCTAGGAGGAGGATGGCCTTAGCTCTGTCTTTTCCCTCCACTGCCCAGTGCCACCTGTGATCCCTCTGTGAAGATCTGTGTCCTCTTCTAGCCACATGTGGACAGAGGACAGAACCCACGTTAGAGACGAACTCTGTTGGCTGCTGTGGCCTTAGGTCTCGTGGGCTGTCTTAGTGGTCACGTATACATGGGCTCCCTGTGGCCATTCTGATTCCCACCTTGCTACTCCTCCCTGGGTGGCCGGGGTCCAGGCCCTTATTTGTTCAGCAGAGGAAAGCAGCTGAGGTCTTGTAAGGCCCAGAGATCAGTGCTCCCCTGGGCCAGCAGTTCTCAGCAAACCATTCCCAGCCCTGAGTGGGGGAAAGCCTACCTTTTCCCCTCTGAGGCAGAGGAGAGAAGGGGTTAGCACTTCTGTTAGGAACAACTCAGCCCTTCTGAGGCATGGTGGGTCTCCTGACCCCTAGACATAAGGCAGGGCCATCATGGCTTCTTGGCTGCCAGGAAAAACCATTCCTACATTAGCTAACTTTGTTAAATTCCTGCTTTGGTCAGCTCTACCCTAAGCCCTTTACCTGTGTCATTCATTTTAATTCTCACTACATCCTTGGGATAGTTGCTATTATTATTCGAATTTGACTGACAAGGAAACTGAGCCCCTGATGGATCAAGAGGCATGTCCAGGTCCTCAGGCTGGTTTGTGGCAATGCTAGGTTTCCATGGATCACAGAGCTGCAGGCTGCAGTGCAGGCTGAGTGGTGGGCTACCCATCTCTCAGAGGTCCCTGGGTCTGACGCTTCTGCCAAGATGGCCTATGGCCTAGTAAGTAGTTCGGAAAACTCTTTGGTCTTAGTGTCACTGTGATCATTCTGGCCTTTGATGGTGGAGTTCCATGGTGTGACAGACTGTAGATGACAGGTGTTGGTGAGCCACCCTGCCACCCCACCCCCTCCCCATCCCCGTCCTGGGCAGCTATCACTGCTCCTCATTCAGACAGTGTTTGTGGATCACCTCTGATGTCCCAGCTCTAGAGATGACCCAGGTCCCTCAAAGGAAAACCAGACTGGCAGGTGTGACCACGGCTACTCCCCACTGTGGGCCAGGCAGTGCTCTAAGGGAACAGCAGACAGCCTCAAACCCTTTAGAGATTAACTTTTAAGTGAAGGAGATGTTTAATAAGTAAACGTGATGTATCCAGGGTGTTAGAAGGTGCTGAGTTAAGGAGAAAGAGAAAATCGTGTAAGGGAGGGGCTCCAGCATCTGCACAGTGTTGGTCCCCTGGGGGCTGCTGTATTCAGGGAAGAAGGGAGGAGTTTCACGCGCTGTGCTGGGAAGACACCCAGAAGATGGTCCAGGGCGTAAGAGAGGGCATACAAGGTACAGAGATTCAGATGCTCAGAAGGCCTGGGGCCCTCGTGTCCACTCGGCCTTGCACACATGTGGCCATGCTGAAAGTCCCAGCAGGTGTCATGGGGACTTACATTGTCCCTGCTCATGGGGACAGCCCTTAGGTCCTACACCTGGCGTGGTCTTCTGACCACTGCAGGGCAGGCCCTTTCTGTATCCAGGAGCCCCAGGAGGGGCCTGCTGTTAGCTGCAGACCTTCAGTTCTGGTTTGAAAGGTTAACTCCAGCTGTATCAAGAGAGGGCATCATAAATAAGAGTGCATTAATAGCCATTTTATTACAACACATTTTTCTCCACATGAAACATTAATGAGGAGGGATTTGCAGGGAGGGCTCCCTGACACCCGCTGTCGTCCCTAGCTTTGTTCACATTGAGAGCTCCTCCTGTGCTCGCCACACGCACTCCGGGCAGTTCACGATGAGCCTGGCAGCTTGGGCACATCCAGTGCTGTGCGTTCTGGTGTCTGTGTCGAGGTGACCAGAGGCAGTCAGTGAGCAGTCACAGTGGCCATGTCAGCAGCCTCAGCCATCACCCCGCTGATGGGGTATGGGTTGGGGTCCCTTCTTCTCCCATCCCATGGTGGCCTGTGTAGTGGGTTATTCCCCTCATCTACCTCATGGAGTTGGGGAAGAATTGGGCAGATAGAGGAACCTGGGGCCCAGCGGGGCTGGAGTGCATCTGGCTAGCCCTTACTGCTCCTCTCTCTCATTGTCACAGTGGAAGTTCACAGTCTTGGCAGGAAGAGCCTGGGAGCTGCTCCCCTCAGCTCTCCTAGCCTCCTCTGCATATCCACCTGGGGTCCCCTTCTTTACTGTTCCCTCCAGAAGCAGACCCAGGTCACATTGGGCTATGTCTATTGGGTAGACACTCCTCTAGCCAGCACATGGCCTTGTGCCCTCTGAGTAAGGTTGTCTTGTCAGCCACCGGCTCAGAGTCTGGTGAGGGCTATCTGCTCTCCAGGGTCTGGAGCAGCCACGTATTTTAGCTTCTCCACCTTATCCTGTGTGGCAGTGGGACCTGGCCCTGGCCTTTGTCAGGGAGGGTGCCCTGAGAATTCTGCTTTGTGGAGAGGAGGCTCTCCTTCCTTCCCATAAAACCCTGCCCTCCTGGCTGTGCTGTTGCCTGGGAGAGGAGCCAGGTACAAAAGATAGGACTGGACACTCAGGCCAGGCTGACTGGTCTTTGTCCCCTGGCCTCTGGAACCTCACAAGGCAGGAAAGGAGAATCTACATGCCTCACATTCTGAGCGCTATCCTTTCACTGCTTTAGGACCTGGAAGTGACGACTGGATTTAGCATAGTCTTGTGGGTTGGTCTAGGTGCCCTGTGGAGCCCTGCCCAGAAACCTGTATCTGTTCTGTCTGGGAAGTCCTGAGCCTCCTGCTTCCACTAGGTGGCAGCAAACCAGCTCCCAGCCCTGCTCTGGGAAGGCCAGCCTGGAGAGAGGATGAGGCAGGTCTGAGAGTCCCATGGTGTTGCCTGCTGCTTCCTAGAGAGCCAGAGGAGGTGGGTTTCTCCTGAGCCTTGGCACTTTCCCCTGCTCACCTCTAAAGACCCTTCCCTTCCTCTGTCTTAGGACCTTTGCTAGAGAGAAACCTGCCCTCACCTGTTTCCCTTCTTCCTGTCCTTCCCCTTCACCTCAGTGGGTCCATCACCCTCTGACCTAATCCGTAGTAGGCACCCCTGCACTAGGCCCTGGGGAGCTCCCTGTCCAGGGAGGAGTGAGGTGGGAACTGGCAGCCACATGGCAAAGACAAAGGAGAGGCAGTGTGCCTAGAGCCGATGTTGGTGGAGGCTTGGAGAACACTTGCTGGAGAGGGAACAACCTGGCTATATCTTACCGGAGGGGTGCAGGGGCACTGAGACTGGAGGAGGCCCTGGTTAGCTGTGCTGGGGGACAGGACTTGTCATTACATGCTAGCAGCTGCTCCAGTGCAGAGGCCTCTGGTCTTGGGGTGATTGTAGGACTCAGGGGGAATGTGGGGTTTGGGGCTCCTGCAGGGGCTGGGACTTTTCTGAGAGTTTGCCTCGACTCATTTTGGGGTGCTGTATCCTAATCCTCACAGAGAGGTCCAGTGGGCTGTCTAGTTGTAGACTTGTGGGGTACCTGCTCTCTAATAGGGACAGGAAGGACATCAGTACAGAAACTGGAGGGGAGTCTCCCAAATACTTGATAACAATACAGAAGTGTACCTAGAACACACTGGTAATAAGACTTTTCTGTGGTTTGTGAAGAGTAGCATATTTTTTTTTTTTTTTTTTTTACCTGCTCTCTAATAGGGACAGGAAGGACATCAGTACAGAAACTGGAGGGGAGTCTCCCAAATACTTGATAACAATACAGAAGTGTACCTAGAACACACTGGTAATAAGACTTTTCTGTGGTTTGTGAAGAGTAGCACATTCTTTTTTTTTTTTTTTAATAAAAAGTTATATTTATTTATTTATTCATTTATTTTTATTTGACCAGAGAGGGACAGAGTGAGAGAGAAAGGAAAAGTGAGAAAACAAGCCGCCAGGTCTGAGGCTCGAACTGCGGTCAACCATGGGGGAATCTAACGCCTTTAACCACCACACCACTGGGTGGTGGGCTCAAGTGGCACGTTCTTAAATAGAACTATGCATTTTCCTAGTTTCTTCACGTCTGCACCATGACACACATATCTTATCCTTGTGCATCAGTTCTGCCAGCAGAGCTCCCTGGGCCCAGGCATCTCCCTGGGAGAGCCTCTGCTGGGGCCTGCACCATACTCCCACAGAGGGAGAATGTGGCCACAATGCAAGGAACCACACACCTGAACTGAGAAGAGCAAGGGCCAGGTGGGATCCTGGGTCCACGCGAGAGGTTGCAGGGTTTCACATGATGTGGGTGCGAAGTGGCTGTGTCCACTGTGCTCAGAGGAGCAGTCCAGGCCAGTCATGCTGGAGTGGATCAGAAGCCACGAATTGCAGCCATCAATTTCTATGATGGGGTCTTAGTCTCCTCGACTCTGCAAGGTCTGGTGACGGTGCCCCTGTGTGTTTGGTGAGAACACTGGTGAAGATCCTTTCCTGACCCAGAGGGAGGCGAGAACTGGAAGGCATTTTACTGAGCTCAGTTCAGGGCTGCGCTTACAGGGAGAGGATCCCTC